CAGCGGGTAATTGAAGTCTTGACCAGCGTGCAGAAACCCTGCCTGTCGATTGAAATCTAAAGGAGATTCATTTGTGTCATGGCATGGTAGAATCATGTTCGCGCCAATGATACATTATTCATTTTTGGGCATAATGAGTTATTAGACCTGGGCTTTAGCAAAGAAAGAAGAAGACAAAATAGCTGCGTTTGAGGTGTGGTGTTACCACAGAATGGCCAAAATTAGCTGGAAAGCAACGAAAAAAAAAAGATAAGAAAGAAAGACCTAGAAAGAGGTGTATCAGATTCAGCCCACAAGACAAACCCTGTTTATCGAGATAAAATGTAGAAAGAAAAAAAAAAGAAAAAGAAAACAAAAACAATAATTTAGTCAATTTAAAGGACACCAGACCGTTGTGAAAGGTGTGCTTGGAAGAGGGATATGAGACTGGAGAGCCATGGGTAGAAAAAGAATGACATGGAAGGACAACATTAAGAAGACATGTTTGGCTTGGGAAAAATTGTTCGTTTTTTTCTGCTGGGACGTTGTGTTTCTCTCAGCCTGCGTTGGCCGTGACAGGCAGGATCGAAGTCCGCATGCTAAATTAACTAAATTGTGTCTGTAGGGGTTGAAATGTCTGCCTTAAAAACATACAAACAAACAACTACACATTCATTTGATTGTGGCACATTTTAAAACCAAATACTATTTAAATCATTAAAGAGTCCATCAGCGACGTAAAAGAAATGCGAACAGTATAAGTTTGAATTTTGGAGATAACCCATTAAACAGCAAAACCCTTCATCTGTTCCGCCATTTTGATTCTACTCAAATGCCCGGATCTGGGCCATTCTGCTCTCAGCTGTTGTTGAGTCGGTCGATCGTTCTCGGGGGAAATATTTAATGTTGTTTAAAACTAGTGCTCGCAATAAATGGGCGGTATAGCCCACTAGTAGGTGATTTGGTATTTCAATTTTAAAATTTTTTTTTTTTTTTTTTAATTTTTTTTTGGGGGAGGGGGGGTCGATGTGGATTACCTTGGTAATGACAGGTGTTATCTAATTCTATTGCTCCACTTTGAAACACATTTAGGTTTCATGTTTTTGTCTTTTGACTTTTACGACATTTACATTACAAATAAGTCACAATAAAAAAGTGGCAAATACACGTAGGTAGGCTGTACTTAAGTGTTAGTATCTTAAAGATGGCAAAAACCGGCTTTGAAAAGGCTGATAAGGACTATTTTAAATACGGATGTGGTGAGTGATTGGCGGAAGCTCTGATAAGGTTTACTCCATCTTTTCTATCAAATACTTGCTGTCTTTTTGTCTTTTCCTTCTTTTCTTTGTATGCTACTCTGTAGTAATCTAATCGTCTTATCTTCGGCATATATTTGTCCTATTTGTGATGCAACTGGCGTAAAAACTCCACCCAAACTCAATGATTAAGTTTGAAGGCATATATACAATGTATAATTTTGCATTAGGACAATGGACACACACACACACACACACACACG